TCAACCAATAAAATTGTATCATTTTGCCATGTCAACCACCGTAAGTTTAGAATAACGCCAACGAATGTTTAATAGTATAGTATGTGGGAAAGGCCTTGAAATAATCAGCCAATATTGANGCCCAAATCTCTTCTGAACTGTCGTCTTCTTCCTCCCCTCTCTCACCACACGATTCCCCTTCTAACCCTAGAAAACTCAGAAACCGTTACCAATCACTCGNTTCCTCTTCGGATGCCTCATTAATTCGACCACCGTTACTTCAGCACTTCTTCCTCTTTATTGTCCTCTTAGTCATTGCAATTCAATGACTCCTCTGTGACGCTCCACTCCGTAGCTTATATAGCTTAACCCTTATACACAAACCTCTTCCAAGCTACACTCACAGCAGCCAAAACAATCGAAGATCGGTCCATCATCTGATTTGAGATTGTTTCTTTTGTTTCAGGTTCCACATGTGACCCGTACTGATTACCTGTTGATTGACTTATCTAAGGATGGCTTTATATGTTTTCATACTAACATAGTATCATTACTCATCATTCCATCTTTATTTCTCTCTCTGGTTATGTTTGATATTGACAATTATTATTTGTTCACATCACAGGTTAGCCTTTTGACTGATCTAATGGTCGCACTAAGGATGATCTCAAGTCTGCCTGCTCTGGTGATTTTTTTAGCCTTTCCATACATACACACTTGACTTTTGTTTATCTTTAGAATGGTGTGATATTGAAAACAATTGTGTGGGTTTTTGAAAATGTAGATGAAGAGTGGATTCGAGGAGGATAATATTATAAGAACAAAATATGTTTTTTTCTTTTTTCACTCTTTTCCTACTACTATAGACCATTTGTGTGTATGTTTCTTAGTGCAAGAAAACCATATATATGAGTTTTTGGATTGTTGAAAAGTTTGTGTTAAAACGGACAAGTTTTCCTATGAGATGTGATTCTTAAACCCNTTAAGTAATTATCAACACCTGCATATTTCTCTTCCTCATTGCATGTCTCTGC